GACAAAATCAAAAGGAAAAAAAATAGCAAGTAGGTAAATCTCTAAGACACTGATCCAGTATCTACCTTTCATAATACAAACCCTCAAAAGACATCACTGCAGGTATAATAGGCCAAATAACAAAGACGAAGAGAGTATGTGACACTACTCAGGACTCGCACATCCACAGAAATGGATTTAACATTCAGAGACCATTTCAGACCTAACTTTCTAGCTCACAAGAGAGAATGCAGACTTCACCCTGTATGGACAAAAAACAGTATCTTCAGACAGAATGTGGAATTTTGGACTTCAGTTTTCTCTTCACACTAAACAAATTGTAGAAACACAAATCCAAAAATAGGTTTAAGTGATGATTACGGTCTTTCTTCTTTCCATTAAAAATCACTTTAAGCTTTTCTTATCAACTTAATTATTTCCATGCACATGGATTGAATCTTAACAAGCTCTTAATTGCTAGTTGCCCTGTTGCCCTCTCAGCACTAGCTTTCCCAGTGCCACCCATGTTCCATGTGGCTTTGTGCTCTGTGACACCGCCATCTGCCTCAGGCTTGGTGTCTGGTCCAACAAGCACCTTCTTGAAAACCTAACATAACTGTCTTTTTCCTGTGCCATGGGCTTCACCTCACCATATCTGATGGGAGCTCTGGCCTGGACTCTAGGAATGTTGTTCCAGATAGGCCTGGCGGGTCTCACTGCCCATTAACATGACCCTTCCTTGCTGGGAAGCCAGAACACCATGTCTTCCTGGCACGCTCACGTCCTGCCAGCTCGGGAAACAAAACCCTTAGTCTAGCATGAGAAATCTGGTTTTCTCTCCATGGCCAGAAAACCTTCAGTTTTTGGTATTCAGTAAAGACTACCCTTCTAAAATGTGCTTACCCTGAACATCAATAAACTCTTTGATAAAGAAGTCTTGTTATAACATGCAAAGCTGTAGGTAAAAAAAAAATAATAAAAAAATAAAAATGAAAGTCTCCTCTCACCTTAGAATATATCAAGCCCTATCAGAAGTCCAAGAAATTAAAATATGTTGAATAAATTTAAGCTTTATAGCAAATACCCTGTGAAAGAACCTAATTAAAGCTTTAAAAAATCTAAAAGGATAATCCATTTCATAATTTTTAGGCATGACAGGACATAGAACTACAATTATGAGAAATATACCCAAGATGCTTTCTGTTCAAAAAATTCAAAGATTCTTCTGAACTAACTGGATAACTAACTGGGCCCTTTTTCTGTTTTCAGACTCTCTCTGGATGGACCACTGTTTCCTATGGTATCAAGTGCTTCACATGTGGTGATGACTAACAAATCCTTGCCTCCAGCCCAGGCCTTGTTCCCAAGCTCTAAGGTGATATGGCTGCCCTTTGTGTCTACGTGGGATCATCATTCTCCACTCCCATTCTGCCCCTCCTTTTATATCTTATTTCATTAAATGTCCACACCACCCACCTGGCAGTAACTTCCTGACCTTTCCCGCTTCTCAGCTCTTAGTCAATCTTTAGAGCCTATGGATTCAGCTTGTTTACTGTCACTCAAACACACCCACTCTCTATCCCTACTTCTACCTAAGCTCAGACACTCATCATTTCTCAGGTGAAGAATGGCCTCTAGATGGTCTTTCTCTCTTCCCAAGAATTGCCCCCATCCAATCCATTCTTCATAGACAGAAGGACCATTCTAAAAGCCAAAGTCGACCACACCCTTCTGCTGCTTAAAATGTCCTAGTTGAAATCAAAATCCTTTGTGATCTATTTCCTGCCCGTCCCTGCAAACACATCTTTTGCCTTTTATTTTTTTCTCTGCACTGGACCTGGACCTAGAGGAATCCTTGAATATTTACTCTGCCTTTCTCCATGCCTTTGCACCTGCTATTACTCTCTGCACAGAATACTTTTCCTCACACTCTCCTTCTAGCCAATTTCTGCATATTCTCAAAACTCTTCTTTCTCCAGGAAGTTTCCTCAACTTTCTATCAGGCTAATTACTCCTTCTAGGTATTCCTATAGCAGATATAGTCCTAGTACTTATAAAATATTGCAACTGCATTCTCCTTTCTTTTCCCACTGAACTGGAGATCCTTGGATGCTGGATAGTCCTTGGTGTAAGGGCCTGTTTTTCCATCTCTTATTTCTGAGGATCATACAATAACACCAGGTCTGCCTGTTGTATGTTCTCCATAAAATTCTGTGAATTGAATAAGTCAAATGCTCTAGAATGAGGTCATATGTTCCTATGCAACTTCTTTCTGGAAGCCAGGGCAAATGAAGGCTACAACGAAGTAGCTACTGCTGAAGTCAGAGGCACTGAATCAGATTTTTAAGGTGCTAGTCAGTTAGGCCTTATTATAGGAATGTGTCTCTTATGAAGACAAAGAGGAAAGTCTTGGCAATTGCCAACTTCAGCTGGCAGTCTCTAGGGAAGAAGACAGTTATATGGGAGAGAGCCTGACCCTCTGCACCTGCAGACAGAAACTCACAGGCATGTGCCTATGGATATAAGCAGGATTACAAACCTCAATCTGGTTTGTCACCAATAAACAAAAAGTAGATCTTTCTTTGATTGTTTCAAGTTCTATAAATTCTTAATGTGAGAATAAATAGTAAAATCCTACAGTTCTTATCAAACTTATCCTTCAATTTAGTATTTTTTACAAATGAGTTTTAAAAAAGAACTTCATCCTGACTTGAAAATGCCATGTTAAGGGCTACACAAATAACATCAGTATCTTTACTTTTGTATCTGCCAATCTTCTGGTGAAAAGCTGCCTCCCTGGATCCTATCTGTTTTGTTTTCTCCCCAGATCTCTTCAGTCCATGCCATGCTGACATGTTTTACTGCTGTGTCTCTCCACTGCATGTATTATCTATTGTTATTAAACACATATTACCCACTGCATGTTATCTACATGCTGTGTTTCTCCACTGTACATATTATCTACTGCTACTTAACCATGCAGCCATTTCCATTCAATTATGGAAAACTCTGGAAACAGTCTGTAGTAAGAGAAGGCTTGGCTTTTGACTTAATGGTCCAATAGAAATCTAAACAGCCCACAACTGGGCAACAGATGTGGGCATAGGCAGCTTATTGATTGTGTAACCAAAGGGAAAAGAGGGTAAAAGTTTTACCTTAAAATGCCCTGTTGGCTTTGCAAACAGTTTCTCTACCCTAACAGGGACTGCCTATGGTTTGAAACTGGCCCTGGGATAGGAACTATGAGTATGAGCAAACCAGTTGTTTAATGACTTGCTAGGTGACTCTCAGCCACTCTTCCAACATCTGTCTCTAGTAAAAGTATGCTTATCAGGAAATGCAATTCTGTTGCTGATATTTTCTATTTTAAAAGTGTGGAACTTTATCAATGTTTTAAGCTTTCAAAATTGAATGTGAATAGATGTGCTTTGATTAGAAACTCTAAATCATGCTTCTAAAACTCCAGTTCATAAAAAAGAAAATGCGGTTTGACAGATTGAGTATATTTTCCTTCAAAGCTGCTATTTCTCTGGCCAGCCTTCTTTCAGTAGGCACATCCACCATCTTTTTCTCATTGATGCACTAACCTTGCAGGTCACTTCCAGTTTCTCCCTCTCCAGGTCCTCCCATCAGTTATGCAATAGCCAAGATGTATAGATTCAGCTTTTACTATGCCTATCCTCTCCATCTATTTCTCTGAATTTGCGTGCTACTATCTGAGCTCTTGTTCACCTGATATATTGAGCCTGCTCAGATTAGTAAAATAATACCCTGATGTTCTCACTGCCAACTCACCCAACATCACTGCTAACTTACCTGAAACGTATCTCTCAAATCATGTCATTCCCTGCTCAAAAATTTTCAAGGGAGTGCCACTGCTTACTAAATCAATTCCATATCACCAGATTTTCATTCTACCTTTTTTTGCTCTATATATATATTATAATAATAATTTATTTTTTTTTTTTTGAGATGGAGTTTCACTCTCCTTACCCAGGCTGTAGTGCAATGGTGTAATCTTGGCTTACTGCAACTTCTGCCTCCCAGGTTCAAGCGATTCTCCTACCTCAGCCTCCTGAGTAGCTGGGATTACAGGTGTGTGCCACCATGCCCAGCTAATTTTTGTATTTTTAGTAGAGGTAGGGTTTCACCGTGTTGGCTAGGATGGACTTGAACTCCTGACCTCAGGTGATCCACCCACCTCCGCTTCCTAAAGTGCTGGAATTACAGGCATGAGACACCGCACCTGGACTATATGTCGTTATTTTGAACTATGGGTAAACCATGTGTGCACATTGGCTGCTCTTTCAACACAGTCTTTATGCAGTCCTTCCTCTGTGCTATTGCTTATGATGCTGCTTTGTCCCAAGCTACCTGATTTGAATCCTGGTTCCACTATTTACTAGCTTTGTGCCTTTTCTTTCTCACTTACAATATGAGGATTATAATATCACCCACCTTATAGGGTTTTGTAACAATTACAGGAGGAAATACAATCTAATGTCCTTAGAAGAGCCCCTGCATGTAGTAAATATTTAGCTAATGTTAGTAATCACGTTTTATTTCTTTCAAGGACCATTTCAAATCCATGTCTTGATGGAAGCCTTTTATATCACCCAACTCAATGTAATTTCTTCCTCTTTTTATACTTCGTTGAATAATATTTAACATGTAATGTCTTGCCTCAGCTTAGTGTGTGCATTTATTTTGGCTTTCACTGGATTGTAAACTGATTAACACTGAGTAAACTTCATTCATGATTATACTCTCCGAAGGATCTTATATAGCACCTGGCATATCAAAATAACTTAGCAAATGCTGGCTAAATGGAAATCAATTGATTTTACTAATTTTAAAGTGGTTTTCCACAAGCTGAAAGAAAAACACAGTACATAAAGATAAGTAAATGAAATGGACAGCTTTATAACATGGATGTGACTGGTGAAAGACACGGAGACTGATGTCATTTGAATGCACAACTTGCCCTGATAACATCCTTTTCTCTGTGTTTTCCATTACAGGTCTGCTTAGTGGCCTATCTTGGCTTGTTTATGCTTTGTTTCTCATATCAGGTTGATGAACGGACATGTATTCAGTTTTCTATGAAGGTAAGTTGTGATTGTTCTTTCTCTTTTATCGTCACTTAGAAAGAAACCCAAGTACAAAATAAAGGAGTGCCTTCTTAAGGGATTGCATATCTGATTAGTTAAGAAATTGCATTTTTAGGCAGGCCAAAAAATGTTTTAAGAGGGCATTGATCCAGACCTCAAAGGTAATGCTGATTTTTTTTAAGTCTTAATTTCCATGAACTGGGTTGGCCTGGAGGATCTGAAGTCTGTCCTTCAATGCCCTTAAAAGGAATGTTGAAAATTCATCAGTTCAACAAAACACTTGGCCAGAAAAAAAGGTGTCTCTTTCAGTGCCCACTTCCGTATCTCGGGGGTTATTTGGAATATTTTAATAATGAAACAGTCTAAGTGTATTTCCCCTTGTAGGTGGGATCACTGAGACAGAAAAAGTACATTGGGTGCATCCAAATGCTCTGTGCCAAGAGTCTCAGGGCAAAGTAGGGGGGACGGGTGGTGGGATGTGCATGGTTTGGCAAACGTGTGTGTCTTTTATTTGTGTGTATCTTTTCTCTGTTAGGGACAGTGCATTTGGTTGGAGCCAATTCAAGTACACAGCATTTTCAGTGCACAATAGAATCTACTCCAAAGGGAAGCAAAGACACTCCTTTTCAGGGTGTATGGACATAGACACAGAGCTTAGCAATCAGACCTAATAGAAATCAAATTCCTTCATTTTCTCTCAGCCACTGTAGCAAAGAATAAAAAGCTTTCTTTAATCTTTTTTTTTAAATTTGGTCCGCTCATATTGTTTTTTCTTCTACAAGAAAACATATAAAATCTGGATTATTTGTTCACTACAATGAGAAAACATAAGACATAAGAGTAAGTGAATGATATTATTTGGAAGTTATTAAGATGAAAAAAATAAGATGTGTTGGAAGATTCTAGCATAATGAAGCTGTTGATATAAAAAAGCAATGGGATGATATCCTTTAAAATCAAGCTATAAAAAGTAATGAATAGAATTAAAAAGGTTACATTATAATAACTAATTCTAAAAAGCTGGTTACACAGAATGTATGATATGATCCTACAGAAAAAATAAAAGCTCTAATGAACATAGAAAATACAATTATCTACAAGTGGTGGGATTATATCTGCATTTTGCAGAGTCTCTAATTTTGAAATGTTCTCCAATAGTTAGACATAACGTTTCTAAGTAAAAAATTAATAGATGCTATTTTTTTTAAAAAAAGATAAAGTTAGAATTTTGGTGGATAGGGCTTCATTTGGAAATTGTACTTTTCTGTCTTAGTACTTTCCTTAAAAGAAGGCCAGATACAGTAGACATCAGTCTATGTTTACTTTTTGTTGCAGAGGTTTGACTAAAGAGCAAGTCTTGGTGATTAAAAAGAAGAAGCCAGAAAGTTTAGTAAGAAATGGCCTGTTAAATTACAAGAACTTCATCCAGTAGCTGAAGAACACCCAAAACTATGTTTTTATTAGTTTATGTGAAATGCCCTCATCCCCCCCCCCCACCACCATGATCTGGAAAACAGCAGAGGCAAAAGCCTCAGCTTCAGAGATACTCCAGTGTCATCTCAACATCTGCACCTTAGTTAAAATAGGGAGCAGGAGAAAAATAGACAAAAAAAAAGTCACTGCCAATGTCAGCCAGGTTGAGGATTCCCCACTAGGAAGATCTCATTAGCTATCTCTTTTTTCCACCCGTGACAGGCATTGACAAATACTGAGGCACTTTTCTCTTTTCCTGAATGTGACCTTCCTTGATGCTTGCTGCTAGCTCTCTAAGGTTGCATGCTACATTATCTTCAGGTTGAAAGTGAGCTTCAGCCCATCTCCAGGTTTTCCAATGACACAGCAGGGGACAGCTGATTTCACTCATGCTTCTCACACTATTGGGGGACCGAGGCATAACTGGCATCTTCATAGGGCGTTTCTCACCAGCATAGGTGCGTTTTGGTGCCCCCATCTCGGCACCCTGGCCTAAGCTTTGTGTGAGGATTTATTTCCTCCTGTTGAATGCCCAGATAGTCAGGACAAGCAATCAGGCCATGTTGACCATCTCATTGTAGTCAGCACGCGTACACACACACACACACACACACACACACACACCCTCCCTTTCTCTTACAGACAATAGCCACAGGCTCTTTTTTTTTTTTTTTTTTTTCCTCAAGGTGAGACAGCCCTCTGGGAGGGTCGGGGATTGAGAGCAGGAGGGTCCCTTTGCAGGCCCTCGATGCCACCAGCGCGTTCCTTTTTCCTCCCTGGGCTTTGCCTCTGGGCTTGGCTGGGCATCGGCTGCAAGTCGCGCTTCCTGCCTTTCCTCTGGCCTGACTTTCTCAGGGCTCCCCTGGAGGTTCGGAAACGTGTTGGGGGCATGTGCCTGAGGAAACATTCCGGGGCACGTTCCCTCCTGTCCACATCCGGGAGGCCCCTGGGCTGCTGCAGCAGCCTCCTCCCGAGCGGCGCGCTGCAGAGGGGCCCTTCCCGTTCAGGCCACCGGGGAAGGTAATTAAATTGGAGCAGAAACACCCTCCTCCCGAGGTCACCTAACGCGAAAGCTGCAGGCCGGGTACCAATTAGAGGCAGCGAGCGAGCGGAGACGCGCCCGGGCGCTGCTGTTACATAAACGCCCGGGGCCACCGCGCCTCCGCCCGCTGCGCAGCGCTGGGCTGATGGGCTGACACCCTCAAGACAGATGCCTCCCGCTCCGGGCTTTTATCAAGATATGTTTGCTCGGATTCCCAAGGTCATCGTAAACACTCTTCCTTATAGTTTATTCGTGCCGCGTAGGTAAAACAAGCCACTTGATTTTAAATTACAGATTCTAACCCAGAAGCTTGTTGCTGTCAGATGGGTTAAAAGCCATGAAGGAAAAATGCTACAGCGCTGCAGATGCAGCCTGCAGGCTTTAGGGGGAATCGAGTATATATTTATGTCTTAAAATGGATAAGAAACTTGCTTCCGTGGCTTCCTCTAGTTTGCTTAATCTGATGCTTTCCTGAGTGGGAGAAGCCGAGTCATTATGTGTGAGACAGATATGGACGATTAATTTTATTCATACTCAGAGAAACTAAGGAGCATGTTTTTTCTTTGTGTTCTCGTTGGGTTCTAGCATATTTGAACGGTTCAATTAAAATTGAGCAACCACTGTGTTTGTGTAAATGTTTACATCCTTCCTACAAGCCAAGAATGCATAGTTACTCCCACATGACAAAGTAAGACAAAGGCAGTCGAATTGTTATCCTCAGTCCTGAGAAGACAGCTCTTTCCATCCCTACTAATTTGCTTATTATTTCACAAATACTTAAATAGTGCTCCTGTGTACCAGACGCTGCTCTAAGCTCCTTACAGACATCAGCTCTTTTGATCCTGGTAATTATCCTGTGAGTAGGTGCTATTATGATCATCATGCCAAGTTTACAGATGAAGAAATACAGGTGTACAAGGATTGCTGAATTTGCCCAAGGACCATAGCTAGTGAGGGGAAAACCAGGATTCCAACCTAGGCAACCTGACTCCCTGGTTCATGCTCTTAATCATCAGCCGGTACTGCTATGCACTTGTTAAATGGTCTTGGGCACACCTTTTAATCTCTGAACCAAAAAGTCATCTTTTAAAAATAGACAAAATTCCCATTTTCAGCAAATGGATTTTTGTGACTATTATGAATTAGTAAAATCTTTTTCAACTATTTGAATTATTTGCAGATTGAGAATGAGAGATTATTGTCATTTCTTCAAGATATTGTCCCAACAAATGTTACAGAAAATTGCTATCTAAGGGGCTGGGTGCAGTGGCTCACGTCTGTAATCCCAGCACTTTGGGAGGCTGAGTCAGGAGGATCACTTGAGGTCAGGAGTTTGAGACCAGCCTGAGCAACATGGTAAAAGCCTGTCTCTACCAAACAATACAAAAATTAGCTGGGTATGGTGGCGCACACCTGTAGTCCCAGTTACTCAAGAGGCTGAGGCATGAGAATTGCTTGAACCTGAGTGGCAGAAGTTGCAGTGAGCCTAGATAAAGCCACTGCACTGTGTCTCAAAAAAAAAAAATTTGCTATCGAAGGATGTATGAATGTTAGAGGTAGGAAGGTAATCACAAGACGCCTGCCCCCCACTTTCATCCATTGATGTCAATAAAACAAGTAGAGAAAATTCCAATTAGGGTCATTCTACTAAACAGGTGACTACCAGGTGGGAAATGATCATTTTAACCTGGGCATCCATGCTGGTAAAGTCATAGATGTACCATTGTTCCCAGAGCAAACTGTTCCCAGTTCTCTGCCAGCTATACTGGGAACACAGTTTCAATGGGATACACACACACACACACACACACACACACACACACACACAGAGCACAGCCAAGACAGTTTAATCTGGCTCTTGGCACCGAGAGTTTGAAGTCAGTAATCAAGCCTGAATATTTCAGAACAACTCAGAATTGTTCAAATACTCTGCCCCATTGGTCCTACAAAATAAATCCATATTTTTAAGCCTAAAACTCCAATTTTTGCATAAAATAGAGTCACTGGAAATATTGAGGGCCAGATGCAGTGGTTCATGGCTCTAATCTCAATACTTTGGGAGGCTGAGTTGTGAGGATCACTTGAGGCTGGGAGTTCGAGACCAGCCTGGACAACATAGCAAGACTCCATCTCTTACCAAAAAAAGTTTTATGATGGTGTCACTTTGTATTTATCTGGTTCCCTTCCGCCAAGGAGCACCAATATTGAGTATAATCCTTGTTATGTTCCTGAGATATAAGATGTTTCTACAAACTTTTACAGATGAAGATACTTAGGTTACATCTGACAATCCTTTAAATGATTTGAAGAGGAAAAAGAATGTGTGTTTAAGATCTCTTTGATGAGAAGATCTAAAGAATCCATGTACTCCTTGGTTAAGATAGACTAGTTAAGATGTGTTAAGAAAAAAAATGGCTTTAACTAATTCTACTCTCTTCCAGTGATGTCAGTTATACAGTCAAGCTGTATGTAATCCCTGATGGATTCCCTTACAGGCAAACTAGACATAAGCTTAGGGCACCAGCAACCAGTATGTACACCCACAGCTACACATACATGCACACATACCACTCAAGAAAGAGAAAAAGTAAAAATTAAATATGGCGTTCCAAATTTAAGACTTAAAAATACTTGAAATCATCATTGTGTGGAAAACACTCATTTGGAGGACTTTTGTATGCATACTTTATAGTGTCACATATATGTTTTGATTTTGAATTATATATACGGGTAGGTGGGGAAAGGCATCATCTTTGCAGAGCTGCTTTCATCTGAACCTGGAAATAACTACAACAAATATCACTTTGTGAAGTGCTCATTCACCAGAATTGTTCTCTGTAGAGAGCAACTTTTGACTGTGATAATATAATTTTTGCAGTAACAACTATGTATACTAGTCTCAAAAGCTGGGGACTCTGAGCCTTACCTAGAATCTCAGCAGGTGGACTATTAAGAGAAACATTCCTAGTAGGCGAGTCCAATCACAAAAATATTTCTTGTTTCATAAAATAGATTTTATTATGGCCGTGTGAGTGAACACCCACAAGTTTTGCTCAGAATATTTCAGGTTTAAGTTAAATACCTGAATTGTTCAGAGTTCCCACAGCCCTTTAAGCAGCAAAGTAAGAACTTTAACCAGACTTTTTCAATCCCAAAGCTAACTTGGGGGACAACAGGGTTCAAATTCTTGGTGGCCGAGGAACCATTTAGAGTGGATTTTCATGCTCAGGAATCACATGGTTATTGTTGGGCTTGGGGTAAGTTTCATAGGCGATGATGCTGACATCAAATCACTTGACTCCTGGAGTCATAATTTACTTCTCCCAGAAACCTCTTGCTGGGGATTCTCATGTTTATAGATACAGTTTGTCAATCACTACATTGAACATAGTCTTTAAAAAAAATTAACCTGTGTTACTTAGTTGACCCATCATTGCTAATTTTGGCCCACACAGTGTTTGCATTATACAGGATTACTTCCTAGTCTTGTTTCAGTCTTACTATCAGCAGTTCTTGAGTTCAAAATAAGCACAACATGTCATCCAGGGATGGCTAGCTTGTTTGGGATTTATCTAAACGGCTGGCAATATCTAGATGAAAACATCCCACAATCCAGCTAATATGGTTGTCACAACTCTTGAAAAGGGCCCAACATCTGGATGGCAAGTGAAAATGTGATCAGGGTTTAAGGACCACTAGCTAATAAATAAACATAGAACTATTTCCATGTCTTAGGTGCTGTGTTTCTGAGAAGAGAGAGCATTTCCATCAGAAAATTTCTGGGAGAGAATAAAAAGAACAGTTTTGATGAATTAGCTTTGCAAATCATCACCCAGCGTTCTTTGTGACCAGAAAGGTTTTCTTTTGCTTTCTTGCAGCTGTTATACTTTCTGCTGAGTGCCCTTGGCCTGACAGTCTGTGTGCTGGCCGTGGCCTTTGTTGCCCACCACTATTTGCAGCTCACACAGTTTACCTGTGAGACCACACTCGACTCTTGCCAGTGCAAACTGCCCTCCTCGGAGCTGCTCAGCAGGACCTTTGTTTACCGGGATGTGACGGACTGTACCAGCGTCACTGGCACTTTCAAACTGTTCTTACTCATCCAGATGATTCTCAATTTGGTCTGCGGGCTTGTGTGCTTGTTGGCCTGCTTTGTGATGTGGAAACACAGGTACCAGGTCTTCTATGTGGGTGTCAGGATGTGCTCCCTAACAGCTTCCGAGGGGGCCCAGCAAAAGATATAACATTCTTGCTCAAAGTTGCAAGAGAAAATAGCACACGGATAGCTGAGGTTGAACAAAAGAATTTTCTAAACAAAGAAAGGAAAAAAATTGACAATAAACAACATTCACTGTTCTAAATGAATATTTTTATATTTTTATGAAACAAAAGAGCATTTCTTCAGGTTTCTATTGTATTTTTTTAACATTCTTTCAGAGAAAGCAAGATCCAAATTGATTTTGGGATATTAAAAGAACACTGAACGAGGAAAGAATGGCATAGATCTATCCTTACAGTCCGGAGCTGATTCCTGTTATTCATTTTATCCATGACTTACATAATCTTCTTTCCTGCTAGTCCAGTTTGATGGTGTGAATGGTGAATTTCAGGCCCAGTTGCTAAATTTTGTGGCATCTTCCTTTGGTTCTCCCCACCTCCAGTCATCAGCCCCACTCTGTCTTGGAGACAGGCAGGAGGTGGGGGAAGAGCTGAATCTCTTTATTTCCCCTGGTAGAGATGTCTTTAAGGCATGAAATAGCTTAAAGAGCAGCGTAGAAACGGAAGAGGCTTTGCAAAAGGCTAGATAATTATAAACACCTGGGTTGGGGCGGTGGCCTCTTCTCTTCAGCTCCCTTAGCTTGGCTCTGTAAGTAGATCACTTGCTAAATGCTTTAGATGATTGCCTCTCAATAATTGAAAGGTGGTGGTAGTTGTATTCTTAATGATGTAGAAGGTTTAAAAATAATTACATTATGCTTCTATTCTATCATCTAAAACAAATCATTAAAACTAATTTCTAGCTAATTGTTAATTATAATTATGCTCAGAAGTCTATTTAATGAGCTCTGGCTGTACTTACGCTGCACTGTCAGTGTTAAGAGAAATTACTCTCACAAGAACAGAGGCCTAAAGATTCTTTCTTCTGAAAGCCAAGCACCACAAGGAAAAAAAAATTTGTATTAATAGCGCAGGTTAAAAACACTCATTTAAACAAAAACAAGAGCATTTGTAATAGGAAGTGTTTATACAAATAGCACATTTGTGATATGTAGAAAAGTATCTCTCTTGGCAACCAATCTATGTTTGAGGAAGATTAGGTAATGCTGATGTGTTCCATTCAAGGCACTGTATTTGATACATAATCCTATTATTAATTCGTATGCTTAGTCAACCTAGAAAATCAAAATGATGTTTTGAAGTTCTTATTTGAGGAATATAGACTTGGCTTGGAGGGTAGTTCTAGTTGTTTTGTTTTTAAGTGACTGTGACTTAAAGCGCAAAGCCTCAAGGTCAGGAGACTTCTCTCTGTGATTATTGCTGTTACTACATTCTGAACTGTATCCATATTTTAAGGAACAAGCTAAAAATGGAAATTCATGAAACATAAATGGTATCAAGAACTTTTTCTATCAGCATGCTTTGTTGAAAGCAGAAATTAAGATAATAATTGAGTTCAATTCACCTCTCCACATTGCCTATGGATGTACTTTACTAATCATGAGATTCTACCCTAAAAGAAAAACATTTCTTGTTTGTCTTAGAAGAAAGTGGAATAATTCCATTGATTGTGATAATGGTGTCAGTTTCTACACAATATAAATATCCAAGTAAAAAGGAAAGCATTAAGTCAGTAAGCTAGAGGATTGTAAGTATCTTTTATGTCCTCTAGATAAAACACCCAATTAACAGATGTTAAACCTTTTAATGTTTTGATTTGCTTTAAAAATGGCCTTCCTACACATTGGCTCCAGTCAAAAAGACATGTTGGAGAGCTTAGTGGGTAAGTCTCCAGAGGAGAACTGATCACACGCAAAAGTTACGCCAACAGAATACCAAGCAGAATGAAGACTTGAAAAATATCTTGTGCCCTGTTTTTTTGTTTTTTTTTTTTAAAGCCAGCAACTGAATCCATTTTGATTTTTGTTAAGAGTTTCCTATACAAAGAAGAAAATGACTGAGAATCTAGAATGTCGTAGGCCATCCTTTAAAGAGTAAGTAGTAGCACTTTAATGCTGGTAACCATGAATTGGGCACCACTGAAAGCACCTCCTGAATTTCTTTAGCAAAAACATTTTATAGTGAACACCACAAGTTTTTATATTTAAAAATTAAGACTGCATATCCTTAAGGTGCTCTATGCTTTACCAGTGAATCACAGGGTATTTCAAATGGTAGAATCATTTTAGCTTGTGTGCTTCCTTTTTCTAAATAATGCAACCAATAAGAGCTGACATTGTAATGAGCTTTATGATAGTATAACCATCAGGATATATATATTCATATATAGTATACATATATAAAATGGGGATATTAATATTGTATGATTAAATCGAAGTTCCCTGAAGAGAGAAAAAAATCATAAGTGAATAGAAAAAACTAAACAAAAAAGAAAGAGAAAGAAAGAGAAAGAAAGAAGAAAGAAAGAAGAGAAAGAAAGAAGAAAGAGAAAGAAAATATTCCATTGCTATGAGCTTGCTGTATATTGATATGTATAAGAATTGTGTTGCGTGAATAACTGCTTTGGGCTGGATTTGAAGTATTTTGATGTTGTGTTTTGCAAATATTGAAGTTACAATAATGGCAACAGAAAAGGAACAGATACACAGCTTTACACTTAGCAAAATGTTACATTTAAAATCTGACAAGGAGCCAAGATGGTGACTGTCTCCTCTAAACCATGAAAGAGTAAGATTTGCACAACCCTCCTCCTCTTCCACCTCCTTCAAGAGAATTAAATGAATCAAGACTTTGGAAAGACGGGGAAGAACCAGGACTTGGCAGTACTTGAAATAGGAGGATACAGCAGCCTAAATGTACAGACTTTGTAGCCGAGCCCACTCGATCAGTCTGTGCCTTCACGTGACCACCATCTGTGCCTCCCTGGCTCCATCCAAATTTGTGTAGGCTGCTCCTTGGAGCCATGCCTAAAATATAGCTACACCAGAGCCCTGGAAACTGTAGTCAAGTAACAGGCCTCGCTTTTTTTTTTCCTTTGGATTAAAAATATATATGCTCTCTACTTAGTGGTTTCCAGCTTTACACTTCAATGGGTTGTTCAACAGTGAGAACACACTATATACATGTTTTCTATTCATGTCCAGGGCATGAGAATCTTAATATTCTCATACTTCCCTTTTTGCACGCAGTATGTCTGGAATATGTTTATAAATTTTAGCAAAGGGTGAGATCAAGTGACAAGGGTAGAGAGGTTGTTTAAAGATAATCAGAAATGAACTTAAAAGCTGCTCTGCAAAACCAATCCTTTCCTATCATGAAGAGAACCCTCGTATTTTCTGGAGATTGTCTCTGAACCATTGCTACAAAGCCATGAATTTCTATAAATCATGTTGGCTCTCAGTTATTACTGTTTTCTGAGAATTCTATCATGTTTTTAGATGTACGTTGTGTATTTAGGATAGCATTAAAAATAACTGATGGCAAATGTATTGACTCACAGTGGAAACATTTGTTTGGATGAAGAATTAGTGGTTTAGCCTTTGAAATGAATACCTTGAATCGTTTCTTCTGATTTTCTAGTACTTTATTATCTCAAATGATTATTATCCCCTTCAAAAATACTGGGCTGTACTTTGGTGTTGTGGTTTTATTTTTCTGGCATTGATTAAATAGCAAACACAAAATAAAGTGTTTCTACATGTTTGAGGGGGTTGTTTTTAAACAGGATATGTGTAATGCAGGTTTTCTTTATTAATAAAATTTTCATAATCTCTGAAAACACTGTGTTTCGATGTGCTTTAAAGTAACTTATGTTACAAATGAACTGGTACACATAAAATCTCTCAGGTAAGTGTTTATTTCAAAATCTGACAAAAACTAATATTCACTGTGGCTCCTTTGTTCCAGTGACTGTTTCTGTTTTGGAACTCTGCATCCATCCTAGAAGTCAAGGTTGTAATTGCTCCCAAGACAAAGACAGTCTGGCTGGAAAAAGTCTCGTAAAATGTACCTGGAATACTGATTCTTACTGTATGTCTACTAATAGTAACTAAAATTTGTCCTGAAGAATGCGATGCACATATACTCAATCATATTCTATATTTTATTGTAAAGAAAAACAGCCTTTTCCATTTCAATTCAGAACTCAAGGACTTCCTCTTACAAACTGTGAGGCAATTTAAATAGTTGATTATACTGTAAAATGCAGTGATTCTTTTTACGTCCTTAGTAAAGGCCAGAACACACAAGCCCAAGACACACTCTCTGATTTAGACTTTCTTTCTTTCTTTTTTATTATACTTTAAGTCCTGGGATACATGTGCAGAACGTGCAGGTTTGTTACATAGGTATACATGTGCCATGGTGGTCTGCTACACCCATCAACCCATCATCTACACTAGGGATTTCTCATAATGCTATCCCTCCCCTAGCCCCACACTCCCTGACAGGCCCCAGTGTTTGATGTTCCCCTTCCTGTGTCCATGTGTTCTCACTGTTTAACTCTCACTTATGAGTGAGAACATGTGGTGTTTGGTTTTCTGTTTCTGTGTTAGTTTGCTGAGAATGATCATTTCCAGTTTCATCCATGTCCCTGCAAAGAACATAAATTCATCCTTTTTTATGGCTACATAGTATTCCATGGTGTATATGTGCCACATTTTTCTTATCCAGTCTATCATCGATGGGCATTTGGGTTGGTTCCAAGTCTTTGCTATTGTGAACAGTGCTGCAATGAACATACATGTGCATGTGTCTTTATAGTAGAATGATTTATAATCCTTTGGGTATATACCCAGTAATGGGATTGCTGGATATTTCTGGTTCTAGATCCTTGAGGAATCGCCACATGGTTTTCCACAATGGATGAACTAATTTACACTACCACCAACAGTGTGAAAGCATTCCTATTTCTCCACATCCTCTCCAGCATCTGTTACTTCCTGACTTTTTAATGATTGCCATTCTAACTGGTGTGAGATGGTATCTCATTGTGCTTTTGATTTTCATTTCTCTGATGACCAGTGATGATGAGCTTTTTTTTTTATATGTTTGTTGACTGCATACATTGATAAATGGGATCTAATTAAACTAAAGAGCTTCTGCACAGAAAAAAAGCAAAAACAAAAACTATAATCAGAGTTAACAGGCAACCTACAGAATGAGAGAAAATATTTGCAATCTATCCATCTGACAAAGGGCTAATATTCAGAATCTATAAGGAACTTACACAAATTTACAAGAAAAAACAACCCCATCAAAATTGGACAAAGGAAATGAACAGGCACTTCTCAATGATCTGGACTTTCTATCATTCATGTTAAGGCAGTAGGGACTTGAGTTGTAAGTCTGGCTGCCACTTTGAGCAAGGTGTGACTTTGGGCAAAGCATTCCATCTGTAGTTTCCTCATGTTAAAGTGGAGAAAAATATGACTGCCTCACAGCATCATGGAGAAGGTTAAATGAAACAGCACTTAGCAAAACAACTGGCTCCTAGATGGTGCTTAATACATATTTGATTTCCTCCTGCCTTAGCCCAGTTCCACAGAGCCTGGGACTCTTCTCATTGCTGCAGGCTCCTGTCCCCACATCAAATTAGAAAATGAGCTCTGCTTTGCTGTCCGTGACTTCCTTTTTGTAAACTAGAAACATGAAATGAGCCTCAAACAGAAATCCTGTTTTTAAAATAAGATAGCACCAACTTTTGTAGATAGACACATAGCACACAAAATTATGTGTTGGTTGGATCCCTTTGCTTGTTTACACATTTGGATGTTTCTTGAATGAGACTGTCTTCTCTCAATTCTTCTTCCAGGCAGAAGTAGAACTGGAGATATTTCTCCTATGTTTCATATAACTTCTAACTTAATGTAATAGAAGCATGTTTAACCCCAACTTTTAGAAACCAATATTTTGTACATTACCAGTCTACCATATATTAGGTTGTAATGTACAATTCCTCATTTATTTTAAAACCAACAAACAAGTACCTTTGTATGCTCGACCCTACAGGTCACTGATTTTCATTAAGAATTATACAAGGTTTACTTTTGAGCACAGTCAGAAAATACCAAATGGAGCTTCATTCTGCAAGCTGGATATGAAAACATTAACATAAGCCTTCACATTTGTGGCAGATTTAGTTATTGAAATTATACAGCCATTAATTGACATTTTCCCTTGATGGAACCTATCTATCTTAATAGGTCATGATATGTTATTTTATTTTTTACTTAGTACATTTATATCTTTTATAAGTCAGGCTTTGTAAAGCATAAGACTAATATTAGGTATTATATTTTTTAAAAATCAGAATGTAAGTAAAAATAAAACTAATATATGAGATGCCACTTCAGAGACAACATTCATTATTTCCAGCAAACATTTATTTGTATGTTTATATGTTTACTGATCCCTTCCAAAGCATGAGTACTTAGAGGAAGTTTTTTGTTGTTGTTGTTTGAGGAGGTCATTAGACAGATCCTTTAATCAAAGGGATGGGGGACATACACTCATGTCTACATGAACATTCTATAACATAATATTAAAACATATTACAATAGTAGTATTAAAACACAGATTTTATCTGAGATGTGAAGTCTTCTGTTTAACAAGGCTCTCTGATTGAGGGATGAGGAAGCCTGGAGTCACTTTTGTGGGACATGGGCTGGTCCTTCCTCTCTCACAGGAAAGCCTGCTGGAGAGAAAGGCAGGGCCCTGAATGGGACTCAGACCCACCTGGTCCTGCCAGGAATTGTGGAGGAGACTTAGATGATACCCAATGAGACAACTGAACAAGGAGAAGTCAGTGGGCACTTTAGCTACCCCAAACCTGGAGACTCTAGATGGCACCTCTCTCTGGGCAGGGTGCCTTGTTTACTCTGTTTGATTTCCTGCCCAGAACTTTCCCCCCAGAAATTTTCACTGTGTTGTCTTTGCTTGGCCAGGTGTGATTGTAGAGAGAAGGAGGAGGACTCTCAAGGACCACAAGAGACAGTGGCACTGTGACCAGAGAAGATGAGAGTAATCTTGTGAAATCCA